GTTGTTTCTAGTAGCAGTTCCATCAGTACAGAAGACTCCCACAAACCAAAAGCTTTTGTCTCAGTTAGGTATTAACTATGTAGTAGTTAGACAATCCCAGTGAACAAGGTTAGTGTAATGCACTGGTGTGAGGTGTGAAATAGAAAAAGTTCTCTCAGTCTTCATCGAATTTCTGTTGCAGGAGAAAGTTGGCAGCCAAGTTTTCATTCTTCTCACAAGCAAAATACGCCTGTATCACAAGTCCTTCAGGAAATCCTAACGCCTTCAACTGCAGGAAAGAAACACATTTAGAAAGCACGTTTTGTGTATTAAGCTTCTTTGTATGTCTGTGTGTCTTGAGACGTCCCTTGAACAATTACTGCCTTCCTGAACAAACACATTGCTGCCTAGCTCAATACAGCCTTCAGTGAGCAAAAAGTAAGGTGTTGCCTCTGTCCTTAGCAAAAAGATTCTGACTTGAAAAAGTGATTTGAGTAAGTCTAAATGAAGCACTATAGAATATGTCGCTTCTTTGGTGAGACAGCAAGTCACTACAACAGACATGAGTCACAGTAATATCAGGAAAGAAAAAACAATACTTAAAACAATTATATGGAGCTCCAAAGGGCTAACAAAAGTCACTTGGAACAAGAGCTCACAATCTGTAATCTATCTAGTAGGTAGCCCAACACATCACATTAAGAAGTGAAAGTCCAGTATAAACAATTGAAAGTATAGCTTAAAAAAAAACCTGACTACACTTTGCAGCCAAGAGAAGCAAATCTGTTTTTCAGAAGTCAAGAACTAATGCATGCCTGTGACACAGTGATGACAGGGCATGAGAACACCAAAGAAGAAGTTATTACTGTGCCAAGGGAAATGGGTTTAGCCTGCACTTAGAGGCAGTCAGCAAACCAACCCTTGTTTTGGCCAAAGGCAACTCCAGACAACTATTTGGGGGTTCTCTTAAGATCCTCACAGCACCTGCAAGGCATTTCACATACAGGACAGATCAAATCACTTTGAGGAACTGTGTCCTATTATCCCTCATCAACCACTCTTGGATTTTCTTTTGTGCTCCCAAACAGCATGAATGCATCAGCTGTAACATTAAGGCACTTAAATTCTGAGGTGTGTCTTTCATGGAAAGCAGAAGGAGCACACAGGTCTCTGTTGGGTTTTATAACAGACTGCAGAGGTAATAATGCTCTGCTGCATAAAATGGTTTTGAAAGGAAATGCAGCAGACTAGAGGAGATCATCTGTCAAGATGTTCATGGACACACAATTTCAGACTAATTTTATTAATTGTCAATTTCCTTGATATTTAGAGAATTGACACCTATATTCAACAGTTATTTTCTGATGTTCCTTACACAACCTTTTGCTTTGCCAGCTGAAAAAAACCATTGAGATACAAAACCACTACCACAGTATGGCAGAGGTCCCCTGGTTTGTCCTAAGAAAAAACCTTAAAGGCATTGCCATCTGTGCAGATCCATATTCAGAGTTACAGACAGTATTTATGAATGCAATATACAGCCCCCAAGTATATTTTTATAGACATGTTTACTGTATTTTCAGAAAGCTGCAAATAACTAATTCTCATGGACAGACAAATAACCGGGTAAAGCTTTGACTTCAACTATCTTCTTAACTATGAGCTTTCTTACTATCTAAGTACTTTGCAAACAGTGCTCACATAGACATAGCTTTGCACCTGGAAACCTATCACAGCATGATCTAGAACAGCACTGGCCAAGGCTTTTGCAGAGGAATTACTGCCTGAGTTCCCATTCCTGAGGGAAACCCATTCAGCCATCAATTATCAGTCTCTGACCACTTAGCAGCCTCTGCATCGTCTCAGAAGACAGATTTAAGGTATTTTAGACTCAATTTGAAACAAGTCTACAACAGCTTTGAAACATCAAATAAGAGAACATCAAAAATTATGCAGAACTACTGAGCACAAACAAAGTTTAAGCTATTTCTTTAGCATGCACTGGAGTCAACACGCTACAGCAACAGCCAAGCAACATTTCAAAGAAGGAAGACTTACCCTTTCTATAGCTTCTTTATCCTGAGGTGTTATTTGAATATAGTTCATGTGATTAATTCCAGCATCTGCTACTCCTCCAGTGCTGGTACCATCAGCACCAGCACTTAAACCCTGGTATGGCTCTGAAACTGGTCCATTCATCATATGAATAAAATCTTCCTGGTGCTGGCTGATTTGCTGTGATGAATGGAAAGATAAAAGAAATACACATAATTTAACAACTCATGTTTAAGCCTGGCAACAGACAAGGAAAAGTATTTATTATCAGATGATTTAGTCAAAAGAATGTGTACAAAGTACATAGAGAAAAATTATTACATCTAACCATAAGAAATGCAGTTTCATGTTTCAGTTCAAGTGATCCTTTCCTCTTCCTGATCAACTCTTATAAAGAGTCTCAGACTCACGTTTAGTGTCACAGAAAATATGTTCTGCACAGCGACAACTGCTGAAAAGCCAACAATAGAATGTTGTAGCTGCTAGTAACATACTATCCCAGGTAACATCAACACCCTCTTGTAAAGCTCCATGAGAATTATCAGGCATTATTCTCCTGTTTTAAGATTCACCTGCAGTAGTTGGGGGTTTTCCCGTCCAATCTCCTGTAGCAATGCTGGTAACAGTGAAGGATTTTGCCGGATAATTTGTCTCATCTGATGGAACTGAGGCTGATTTCGTAAAAACTCAAGTGGATGTCCTGAAAAACCAATGGGATAACACTTTTTTTTTTGACAAGTCATGAAGAATCTGAATAAAACACACACCCCACACTGTGACTGTATATAGAAACAGGACATGAAGGTGCACAATACAGCCCTCACTGAAGGTCAGAAGAGCTTCCTCACACTGACTCACGCTAGTTTTAAGCAAGATTTCTTTATACTACAGTTAAACAACTTTTTCTTATCACCCAGTCTTAAGATCCAACAGCCTCCTGTCCTTCATCCTCAGAACTCTGCCTCACCTCTGAGCAAACTCATTCGTAGACACCTACCCAGGCTACTGTGTTGTCTCTGCCTCCTGCAATAGGTCAGTTCTGACTCAAGTGAGTCTTACCTTCCCATGCATCCTATACGGTTCCTCACTGCTGTGAACATAGTGTCTGAACTGCTCTGAAATATCCCAACCCTCCATTTACAGATCATGTTATGTGTGCCTGCCACTACTACCTGTATGTTTAACACTCAAGGTTTACATCTTCTACACCAGATCTGCCACAGCCTAAGACAGACCTTTCCTACTCCTTCATAATGCTCCTTTCCTGTATTTACCTCCCTTTAAGGCAGAGTTCTCCACTGTGGGCACCAACCACTGTCAGTGTGCTGCACTGCTGTGTGCTGGGCCATCTCTAGGTCCTTCAGGTGCTACACTTCATGGCCTAGTTGCAGATTAATCCCTTGATATTCTAACTTCCAAGTGGTAAATATATTAGTACCGTCATAGTTGACAGTGTCCAGTTAGCCACAGAGTAGGAAGCCCAGAGTTCAAGTGAGAGAAAACAACCCCATCCACATATGGTGGTCTTACACTTAAATCCAGAATACTGAATCAAAGAACTGTGAAAGTTCACTGGTTTTTTTGAAACCTCATGCTTCATTGCAGATGTATTGACATACAACAAGCCACTTGTTCCAGGAAAGTACCACAATTGGAATTTCCATGTTACAGCTCTGATGCAATTCCCTTCGATCTGTTCACAAGCACCAGGAATGGAAAGATGCACTAAGAGACTGATTAAGTGCATGTGTTTATCACACCCTCTCAAATACAACCTTCTTACCTCCTGATGAATGAGTAGTGGTAGATGAAGTTGCTACTGCTGCTGCCATTGATGAAGATTGAGAGGCACCAGTACTTGTTGTCTGAAGGGATTCAGCCACACAGTGATTATCTCCAGGTATACCCTAAAGCCACAGTTCACATAATTATCTACAGAATGCTCAAAGATATTTGTTTCAACTGCATTTATTATTTGGTTTTCTGAAGGAAGGAAAAAAACCCACCTTAATGCTTTCACTGCAAACATAAAGCAAGATGCTGTGATAGGAACGCAGTTACAACTGACAGGGAACACTGTGAAAAGAGTATTTTTTGACAAGAAAAATGTGTGGTGTGTAGAGCAAGGTAGTAAAGAATGCACTGCATCGGTTTAAAACAGGTTTTACTCCATAAAAATTACTTGCTTTGAATCCTGTTCTAAGATAATTGATAGGAATGAAAAAGTTAAAGTAAATATACAACATGTAATAGTGTTATGCAAAAAAAGTTGTATTACAACAACAGAACAGCAGTACACATTGCCCAAATTATCAATGCTACACAATCTGTTAAGCAACTGAAGAGATGTAAGAACACAGCTCTTGGGACTTCTTTCCTCAATACAAAATGCAACAGCATGACACCTGCCATTTACTGCATCCTAAGCCTCAAAAGTTCTGTATGTCACCAAATTTTAGCAGTTAAAAGCCAGTTAACTTCCCTTTTTTTTTAATTTAACGTGTGCAAACCTTACGCAGGAACTAATTGCTCAGGGTAGTGAAACTGACAAAGCTAAAAAAAGAACAATTATATTAAACCTGAATGTGGTTTATACAACAAAGCCACACCTTACTCTACTCCCTTTCTCCTGCACTGGAATCCTTCAAACTTCTTACCCTAACCTTGCCTTCCCCACTGTAGTCTTGTACCAAATTTGTCCTTTCAACCTTTCTCCCTGAAGCCTGGAAACTCAGGCAGCTTGGCATGGGACAGCAAGGAAAATTCTTGTGTGACAGCAAGTCCTGGCAGAAGAGCCCAGGGAAGTTACCCATCAGGAACCCAATTCAGCTCTGAAAGAGTCAACTCTACAGAGCAGCAAAGCTTCTGAGACAGACAGAGTGACAGTGGGGGTGCTGTGTTTAACCCAACTCCACAGGAGCAAGACTACACAAAATCATCTGCCTCACAACACTCACTTTCCAGGGCATCAAAAAACTTCCAGTTTTTTACAGTGTTCCAGCACATTCAGTCCGGTTAAGTCAAGAAGGCAGCAGCACCGCTCTAACTGAAATACATGCCTCAAAAGGCATCCTTCAGTTTGGGAACCACAAAATATAAGGAACAGGGTGAGTGGAAATATTACAGAACTGTAATGTAACCAGACAATGAAGAGGTTTGTCAAGCCTACTAGAGAAATCACTGGTAGGTAATGTAGACCAAAAGTCCTGCTGTAACATGTCCTTCACATGGTATGTTCACCACTATAGCTGAACAAAAAGGGGCAAATACACAGCTAATACGAAGGCCACATCTCGAAAGGAAGAACGGGACAGTGCTTGAGATAAAACACTGCCTTATTTGTGTGTGATAAGAAGCACATTAAGGTATAAATCACTTAATCATCATTTAAACAACTCAGGGGAATAAATGGAAGTTTTCCCTGTCACACACTTCATTACCTTCATACGGCTCAGTAGAGTTTGCTACACATCCCACCCTGCACAGTGGGGGAGGAAAAAACTCCACTCATGGTATCATTCTGAGGTAACTCTCTCTTATCAGTGGCTTACAGAGCACTGCTTAAATACCTTTTCCCATCCAGTCAGTCACTTCTGTGAATCCAAGTATAATGTAGGAACATGTATTAACCTAATGTAGGTTAATCTTATGAAATTACTAGCTGATTTCATCTACTCACAGGCAGATGACATCACTGCAATCATGTGCTTGTTTAAACCTTGGTTTTGCTCTTGAAGGGCAGCACCATGTACACTAGTTCAACCAAGTTTACTCAGAAATTGTCATCTTGAACACCATCTTAACTTTACAAGCTCGAAGGATCACTCTCCAAATAACGGAGACAAAAGGCCACTGCTGCCTTATGGTGGATGAAACTGTTTACTGGGTGATTGAGCACTATGGCAGTTTTCACCTGATGTTGCTCTCCACAGGGTAATAACCACATCAGGCCCAGACCAAAGGCCTGGAAACAATAGAGAAGAGACTAGACAACGGAACAGTTCCAGTTGAAAGATATCTACAATGATCATCTAGTCAAACTGTCTGACCAATTCATGGCTGACCAAAAGTTAAAGCCTGTAAAGGGCATTGTTCAAATGCCTCTGAAACAGTGACAGGCACAAGACACTGAACCACCTCTCCAGGAAGCACGTTCAGTCTTTGACTATACTCACAGCAAATAAATGTTTCCTAAAAATTTCCAAAATAAGAGGCTGCAATCAATGGTTCAATTGTTGAAGAGATGACAAGACTCCTTCCTAACTAGGGGTTAGGAAATCCTTGGGTCAAAGAGAGATCTCACTGTAAATGCCTGCAAAGATGAGTCTGGGGCACAGAAAAACAAACAGCCTCTTTTGGAATTGAGACCTCCTTCCATGACTACAGCTCACAGACAGAGGATCATATCAAGACCTACAGTGATGAAGCCACGAAAACTGAACAGCTTGTCATCTGAACCATGGACAAGTAGAACCTTCAGGGCTCACCTGAGGAGCAGCTATGCTTTTAGCGTAGTCAGGCTCTTGACATTTTCTTTCCAACACTTTACAAGTACCTTTGGTGTTCTGGTTCTTTAAATCAGGACAATGGTACACACTTACAGATCTCAACATTCAAATCCTACTCTACAGATTAAAATAAAGATAACACTGATGGTAATTTGAAGCAGGTAATGTAAAGGGTCAAAGAACAGTGTCCTAAGTGGACTGGTATCAACTAAAAAGAAGCTTTTTTGATGCAGCAGGACAATAAGGAACATATTTAGGGCTCAGCAGATCAAGACCAGTTAGAATGACCATTTACAGCAAGAGGATTTTTTTAGGACAACAGAAGACTGACAGCTAATGTGGTCTCCAAGAGCAAGACCATGCCTTCCCATTCCCTTTTCCAGCAGGAAGAGTAAGAACACAAAAAGATTATCAGTAAAGGATAACATGAAACACAAAGCTTACAGAACAGAATGATCCATTTGAAACACAGAACCTACTGAAGGAGTAGAAATGAACTGCTCAGACCACCCAATCTATTTGGCAGATTTGACATGTTGAACTACTTCCTAGGGATTTTCTCTGTTCTGAACTTCCTTAACAGAAATAAACTGGAGGAGGGAAATACCAGACGGAGTGTACAAGAATTGCACACTGTATAGGACTGCCACAGGCACAGAAAGCCCAACAGTTAGGGGAGGCACTGAATTTATGGTGTATGTACAACTAGATGAACAGTAAAATCAACATTTTTAAGGCACAAAAGACAAATGTTTGAGATTGCAGACTTACGGCAGGTAGTTGGTAGCTACTGCATTCACCCTTGGTTGGCCTAATACTAGATGAGAATGGAACTTTTTACATTCTTGTACTCAAAACATTTGTTGCCAGTTTAAAATCTGAAGGTGACAAAGTCTTGGGAACGTTAATATAAGTAGCAAGCAAGCCAGTGATTTGCAGTTGTGACTACTGAAGAAAAACTTCGCTGTCAAACATAAAGTTTGATGACTGGAGGTAAAGATGACACTTTTGTTAACAATCTATCAGACATTCAATCCACGTGTATTTTTCAAAGACTTGTTCAAGGTATTCAGATTTTCATAAAGTTCATTTCTGGAAAAAGTAAAAACCACATCAGGGGGAAAAAATGTTATGTCAGAGTGAAAACTAGATGTACTGGGAATATTGATTAAGCAACAAGATCACAGACAGATTCTGTGGTGGTTACAATTCACCTGTGAGACTAAGGTACACAATGAGAAATAATCCAAAAAGTCCCTAAAAGACAACTCACAGGATTTCCATTAAAGTGAAGTTAGTCTTCTGTTTCTTCTCACACCAATGAAGTTCATTTCACTCTTCAAACTGTATTTATCAAATGACAAATTGTTTCTTCTCTAAAACACTGCTTAACTTAAAATACCAGTTAAATTAAGCATACATCAAAAAACTTTGTTTAGAAAATATATGAAGAGCACTGTGCATTATCAGTAATACTAAGGAACTGGAACTTGAAAAAATACCTAAGTGATGCTATAGCCACTGATGCAAAAGTACAAGTAATGCACTAATGCTGTCACTAAGGTGTCACACAAAACCACTGAGCCAACCATGGGCAGTTAAAGTATCACTGTAACTGGTCATATTTTACATACATATCCATATAAATTGAAAAAGAATGAAAGCAAAGAAGTGATAGAGGTGGTTAGGGATGAATTCAGTGTTTTCTGTAACACATTATGACCCTCAAAATCTGAACATCATCCTTCCAGACACTCTACCTAGAGACACTACTCCTCCGTGAACAGGTGTTGCTCTCATTGACTGGACAACATTCAAAACAACACCTACATCAAAGTGAAAGTTATGATCTGGGAAACATAGAAAAGGGAAAGAAGAAGGTGTAGGTTAGAAAACAGCTCACCATTAAAAGGTATTCCACCGCTCTGTCAGGATTGTTGAAGCTGGCCCTCAGCGCCATAATTACTTGGTCTTGTTCATAGCCCATTGACATGATCTCAGCCACCATATTCTCATAGGACTGACCTGTCACTAGAAGTTACCATTTTAAGGGAATAAGAAGAAAAAAAAAAAAAAAAAGCACAAAATGTTTGAATGGATAAATCTCATTTCTGTCCAAATCTGAGTCATTCATTGAGAAATAAAGAGTAGCTCGTATTTAACATGTCATGGTTCTGCGGCTTTAGCTCCAAATATATTCTGGTGGTTTCATTATGAATTTGATTGGAAATAATTAACACAATCTAAATTTCTACTGACAAAAGCAGCACTTGTGATACTTCTGTACTTGTGACTGAAATAATGTTCTCTCTTGAAGTTCTCAAGTAAGGTCAAGGGCATCCTCATAGCTAACATTCAAGTCCTGCTGTAATCAAGAAAAGTCTCCTGCAGTGTACGTTTGGAAATAAAAACTTTCGAGGCAGAGACCTATCCATCAAACTGTTAGCCAGTGAGGTTTCTTCAAATAAAGCTTGTTCACTATGCTACTGTTAGAGAGATGACAAACAATTGATGACCAAGTTACAACTATATATTTCTATGTGCTGGTCATGATGACCCAAGTAATTTAATCAACTTGGACCTACTCAAGTCAGACAGAAGACTCAAAAGTTGTATCTAGTAAAGTCACTCATGACCTGAATGAGAGCTCAGGAGACCAAGTTATGTAATTTAATTCGTATTTCATTCAATTTAATATCTGACTAGATCAGATCAAATCCCCCACCTCTTACAGCACAAATGGCTGAAAACTGTGCACCTGCAGACATCAGGACAAAAATGTACACACATCATAAAAGGACCAATTTCAGGGCAACTGAGCACTACTTCCCTACTGCTGTAGGGAAGATTATTACCTCTTTTCATAATCCATTTCATTTTCCTTCACTAAAAGCAGACAGCAGGTTTAACAAGTAAAAAAGGTAACTATTCTACCATAAATTGTAAAGGGGAAACATCTTAAAAGTTATATTCCCAGGGGAAAAAAACAACCAAACAAACCCAAACTCAGGCATTAAAATATCATCTCCTTCCTAGGATAAAGGTACTCCTGATCTCAGTTGACTACTCCTCCTGACTAACTCTGTAACTAGCAAGTCAGTAGCAAGAGAGTTAAATAACTAAGTGACCACAAAAAACAACTGCTTAAAAAAAACCACAGAGGAAACAAATACTGCTAGAGCTATTCTGTTAAGACAAATCAGTCGCAATTAAAATAATCAAATAAAACACCAAGTTTTATTCCCTTAGGGAGAAGGTGTTTGATTCAAGCCAACATTAACACAACTCCACTGCTTGCTTTGGAACGAGGGCTTGTAAATAATCAGTGGATAAGGGCAGTGTACTCCAGAACAAACAATAAAGCAGCTCTAGCCCAAGGATATTTGTGCATTATCCGTAAATAATGGATTTACAACCCTGGACAAATTTGAGTATCTATTGTTTGGGGTTCAAAGTAAAAGTGCCAACCTGAGTTTAAGGAATGGTAATTTCATGTCTTCATATACGACAAGATCAGTCATTTTACATCTACCTTCATTTTCAGATGTTAAAAAAAATCACTTACATTTTGCTCTAAAGATAACTATTTCTACACATATCTTCAGAGCAGCTAAAAAAGCCAAGCCAACAACTGCCCCAACACGATGATTTTGCTGAACTTGCTGTTCATGTTTTCTCACACAGCACTAGTGCACTCTAACTACTGCTAACAAACTAATCAAGCCAACAGCAAACTAACATCAGTTGATCTAATTAGTTACTAGTTAAACATTTCTGTAATGCTCTTTCAGTATAAGTCAGGTAGAGGCTAGAACAGTATGAGATATTTGATAATTAAAAAAAAAGGCAAAAAAGATTGACTTACTCTGCACACCCTGCTACAAATGCTTTAATTAAAGGCCAAAGGAGGACACAGAATTCGTGCAAATTTAGGTGCATGCACTCCATATATGCACTGCTTACACAAGTTGTGCAAAAGTAAGATCAAGAATAATCACTCATAAACTGCACACCAGCAGTGTCCCAACACAGAGCCAGGTCTGTCTCTAAGCAGTGCTAGTGGGAATGTTTGAGGTCAATGCTGAATTGATTCTCCTCTTTGCTTCTGTCTTTCAAATAACATTTTAAAGCTGGATTAACTCTCAAATCCAGTTCATCACACTCCCCACAATAATTCTCGTCCCATGCCCTAAAGAAAGCTCAGGCTGCTCCAGTGAAAGATGTGGTTGCACAAGGACTGCAAGACGTGCAGGCCTTCACGTAGCACACAGAGCTACATCAGTTTTCAGTATCTAAATGAAAACAAAAGCAAACCAGTAGAAACCAATCACTGTTTTTAAAGTGAAGTCAATTAACTTCAGACAACGTAACTGAGAGGTCACAGTTAGAACATGTCTAGGATCCAGCTTAGGATGTAAAAACACAACACATCAATTTCACAGAATCACAGTATCATCGAATTTTAGGAGGTGGAATGGACCTTA